TTTATCAGCTTTGTACTGTAAGTTCTATGGATAGTGTTACTATTAGTGTTGATGCCAATGATTGACTAGGTCAATGTTTCATATTTATCAGCTTTGTACTGTAAGTTCTATGGATAGTGTTACTATTAGTGTTGATGCCAATGATTGACTAGGTCAATGTTTCATATTTATCAGCTTTGTACTGTAAGTTCTATGGATAGTGTTACTATTAGTGTTGATGCCAATGATTGACTAGGTCAATGTTTCATATTTATCAGCTTTGTACTGTAAGTTCTATGGATAGTGTTACTATTAGTGTTGATGCCAATGATTGACTAGGTCAATGTTTCATATTTATCAGCTTTGTACTGTAAGTTCTATGGATAGTGTTACTATTAGTGTTGATGCCAATGATTGACTAGGTCAATGTTTCTAGTGTTATGTTATTTATATTGTAGACCATGGTAATTTGTTTAATGGTGACATATCCTCATCATCTCTGTTATCACAAGCTATTGAATCTCCTACCTCGCTTCTTGACTGCCTTAGACGGTAAGTTTTCTATTCTACCTGGATTAGATTTCATTTTTTTTAATTATTACATTTCGCAAAGTACACTAATGAGCTATTGTCTTTACGTAGTCTGTGTGTGTGTGTGTGTGTGTTAGTCTGTCTGTCTGTCTGTCTGTCGGTCGGTCGATCGGTTGGTCGCTAAAATATCAAAATATATGATACAAATCTAGAAGAAACTCAACATGTATTTAAGAGCAGTGTGGGTATGGAACTAGTGTATACAGGTTAAGTGAATGTCTTTAGGAATTTGTCCTTGACTAAGTCACTACTATGTTAGAGCGCCATCAGTGTTATAAATGTGTGTTGATGTATACATCTCACCAGAATGTGACGAGTAATATATTTCAGATAAAGTGGTACGGTTGAAATTAATCACTAAAATTTGTCTTGCTTTGAAAAGTGATGTCTTTGTGATATGGATACAACTATTTTAGTATTTAAATCATGATCACATCTCAATATTATTGTCCTCAATGAGGGAACCCAGACACCTGCCAGCCAGGCAATCTGTTAGAAGCACACATAACTAAAAATTGCAATTATTAGATGCCAGATCATTTGAAAAATGACTTATTTTGTATGCGCTACTAATAGAGCCAATATAAGTCGTATCAACTTTTGCAAAAATTCTCAAACATTTCTAGTGATTTCTAGTTACTGTATTAGAAAAACTAATGTTAAAATTGTTTTTTCTTCTATAAATATTTGTTCAGATTCACCAAGCCTGAACATCTAGGCAGTCATGCCAAAATTAAGTGTTGCAAATGTCAGAGTTATCAAGAATCAACTAAACAACTTACCATGAAAAAGCTTCCAATTGTTGCCTGTTTTCATCTGAAGGTGAGATACATGTCAAGTTTGCACTATAGATTCTTTTACCTCATGGATGTGTTGCATTAGTCACTGAAATTATTTATTAGTTATAAGTTATGATAGCTGTTGCTTGCTTTAGGGTATGTAGAGGTAAGTTTTTTCAGCTACCATGGTGTAAGTTATTATTCATCTAGCACTGTTCCATAAAATGTTGCATTTATGAAGTTAACTTAAAGTAGATGGGGTTCAGCAGCCTAATTTTTAGCCCTGCTGTCGACACAGCGAAGCTGTTCATATTACTGATTGTTCGGCGTCGTCAGTCTCTATTTTTTGTGAATATTTTGGTCATTTTTGGTAAAAAGTGGTATTTTTGATTTCTTGTTAAAAATGGCAAGTCTGATTGCTTTGATACTATATATACATACAGATACCTCAGGTAAAGCTCTCTGATTTTTTTATTTTGTGATGATATCTTCAATTATCTAATTTTAATGATTATCTTTGTCATTTTTGGTAAAAAGTAATATTTTTGAATTCTTGTTGAAAACGGCAAGTTCGATTGCTTTGATACTATACATATTGTTCCTTTTCTAATGATATATTCAGTTCATTAATTGAAATGTGCATTGCTAACAGCGGAGCTATCTCAGCCAACAGGCTGCTTGTTAAGTAAATGATTATTAAGTGCATAGTAGCCATTTTGGCAGTATTATAATGCTTTTACCATAGGGTCCTATGGCTGATTTATTATAATGCAATATTTCAAATTATATGTTGATGGCATAGGGTGAAAAATTATATTCATTGGTAATTTCAGGGTACTTATTGTTGTCCTGAATAATTTCAAACATCTGGGTTAGAAAAAGTATTGAAAAAATGCAATTTCTCTTTAAAGCTGTTTCTTTAACATTGTTCTAAAAAGAGTAATTTTTGAAAATAATAAGAGTTTCTTAAAAAATGTCACTGTTGATAATAAATGCAATAGCACCATGATTGTACATAATAAACCAATGAATATTGTCAAGTGATTTATGACCAGCTTTTTCAAATTATGAGTAGGCATCTACCTTAATGTGAGAAATATAGGCTGTATAGTGATTGTATCAACACACATAGCAAAGGTCGCTGCATTACCATACTTTGAGATATTCTTAATTTTAACCTTATTATTTATTTTTTTGCTGTTAGTATTAATAATTTAATGACATAACAGGAAAAAATGACAATGATTGTTTCGTGCTATGTAACATTTGCATTCAGGCTTTCTGTTTTTATCAAGTGTGGATACACTTCAGTCTGCAACTGAAGTAAACAAAGAAAAGTGCTTGACTGTGATGTAAACGTGACGCACAATTTTGATTATAAGGAAGACATTCAAACACGTCCATAACACTTTTGACATGTCCATATGACATTTTTATGGACAGTGTCAGATGTGTAATAAAAAATTGCATTTATTCAAATCATTTAAATTCATTTCCATTATTTGGGGTAAACTACCTCGCCAGCTTTGAATGTGCTTTGAATTACTTGTCACATTGGAAAACTTAATTTTGTTTACTGTGTGTAAATGTAAAAAGATGTATTAATAATGAGGTTATCTGGGGCTGTACAGGATTGCATCAACCACACTGTCTCTCTGTGATTGATAATATATATATATACTGCCTTGGTGACATTTGGTGGTTTTCTAGTGTGTTGATCTCACAGAATCAGTATTCCCTAAATCTATCTTTACTTCTATTGTTTTCCAGCGCTTTGAGCATTCCAACAAGTTTCGCAAAAAAATTTCAACGTATATCTCCTTTCCAAATGAATTAGACATGACACCTTTCATGTCTCCTTATCGTAGACAAAACGGGTTAAACAACAACATTCAAGAGATGGACATATTTAGTACAAGTGAAAATAAGTAAGTACATCAGCTTCTATTCAGGTGTAGTGTGATAGAAACAGTCAAGTTAGTTGCATATATGATTAAAGGGGAGTAGTCGTTGTGACATGTACATTCTAAAATAAACAATACATTTAACTCGCATGCATATGATTAAAGGGGAATAGTCGTTGTGACATGTGCATTCTGAAATAAAAAATACATTTAACTCGCATGCATATGATTAAAGGGGAATAGTCGTTGTGACATGTGCATTCTGAAATAAAAAAATACCTGTAACTCGCATGCATATATTGTAAACTGCTTTGATTTTGTCAGTCAATGAAAATTGTGAAATCTTGGGAATTTCGGCGCTTTTTGCCAAATTTGTTGTATGAATACGATGTATACAATGTTCTGATATGCGAAGACAACCAAATGAGACTTCAAGCACCATCCATAAACTAGTTCCATTTTATGCTCCATTTTACAATTTTACGAAAATTTGTTTGATTGAGAACTAAAAGAAATGTCACATTTTATCTGAGATTGTATTCAATGAAAATTATAGAAAATTGATTCCACTTACCTGAAGTTAAGCGGCAACAACAATTTTGTTCTCAAAAGGTTAAATATTCTAGTTTGTGTGACTA